TGCTCTATCATGCTTTTGGACAACCAAGTAGAGTTCAATGCCTGTACCGTGAGGAAGGACCAGCCAGGCAGAGATGACCAAAGAGAAGAAGAGTACAGAGAAAAGCTGCACCTGTAACGTACTACCAAGCTCAGCTAGTAAAGCTAGCTACAGGCCAAACGCATTGTCAATCGTCAAATGCCTACCAACAATGACATCCCCCTCTGCCAAACAGCTAACTGCTAAATTGCCAGTATCGAAGCTGGGGGTGTGACAGTCTATTGGATGAACCCAACCCATTCACAAGCACCCTCAAAACCACAAATACTACCGCTAAACAACAACAACAACAACGTTCCAGCAGTCAATTCATCCGATGAAGCAGAAGAGGAAGCATACTTCGAGAGCAGCCAGATAGCCAGCTTGCATTATCAGTACGTAGTTGTTAAATCTATGATACTACCAATCTCACTCTCATTATCCTCACTGGGAAACGTGGCAATTGCAGCATCCTCATTGTTGGACATTGTCAGTTGCGCCGTCTACTACTACTCTTGTTATGGATCTGACCCATTCGCCCCTAATGAAACTTCGTGGTCATCTGTACTGTTTATATTATTTTTACTCCTGTTTGGTTCTTCTTGGGGTCCATTGAAAATATTCATAGCCCCTTGTCTATATAGTTTGCCCGACATCTGGTGCTGGATGTGTGCTAGTTGTGGTGTTCCTAACATACCCCCCTGGTTCTGAGCACTGCAGCCTGTGTATAAATTCACTATTGATCTGGTGGTAGGGTTTTACATGTATGTGCATCTAGAGAAAGGTAAACTTTGAATGAATGATCACAGTAAAAGCATTGAAACATATTGACATAAAATGAGTAGGAGCAAGTGGCTGACAAAAATTCTTCTAGATCAGTTTATTTGCCAAAATGTGAGACAAATGATGCATAGAGTCTATCTAGCACATCGGACCTCCCTGTAACTGCAAGAGCAAACATAACAAAGACGATCCAGCACGCATGCCTTCTAAAAAACTGTAAGATTCATCTAGCGATCCATTTAAAAACATGGATGTTTAGATAAAAAAGCAGCAGGCAGGCGCACTAAAAAAGAACTGGGGGCTTCTCGATGAGATTCGGGACGTCTTTCCTCGTGCTTGCTCATTGTTTTGCACCAGAAAACAAGCAAAGTAAGTTGCGACGATGGCAGAAAAGTAAGCATCTATTATTGACGACCGGTCTAACATCGGTGAAACTGGGGGTGGACTACTAACAAGCTGTTTTCTTATCGTGCATTTTGTTGCTGCTGATCAAAGAATAGTGATTTTGAAGAATACAAGTAGAGCTAGTACAAGCGACGAGTAAGCTTCTGAGTTAACTGAACTGATTACTATTTGATGGCCTGAACTCACCATGTGACAAATCTCTTTTTCATTATTAGCAGGTGCTGCTAGCAGTACTCCTCCAATTCACACCATTGACAGAGACGGAGCAAGAAAACAACTGTTGAGCAACAGTTAAGGAAGAGAGATCTAACGGATGAGAGATCTTATAATATACTAGTAGCAGGTGATGGCATGTACAAGATGTGATTCATGGTGGCACGGCGAGTAGGCAGGAAATATCTAACACAGTTAAGTCTGAGTTTGTTGGTAAGCATACTGTTTATTGACTGGCTTAATATCAGTAAAAATATGGGGAGGGCAGGCTACTTCTAACAAGACCTGTTTTCGCATATCGTGCCTTTCTTGTTGTTGTACAAGAAAGTAGAGCTCAACAAGCAAGAAAACTGAATTTGTTATTTGATGGCCTGAACTCACCATGCGATAAATCTCTTTCCCAGCAGTGCTGCCAGCAGTAACTCCTTGGAATCCACATCCAGTGACAGAGATGGGGTCATGGAGGGACAGAATCCAAACAAACATGTGCTCTTCAAACTGTTGAGCAACAAGGAGTGATTCATTGCGAGCAAGAAAAAAGGAGTTGTCCTGCCTATCTATTCATATTTACAACCACAGATGGTGATAGAGAGAATCAAGTTGGTGCTGGTTTTTCTGAGTGTGCCTTGCCATGGATTGTAAGCAACCTGGAAGTTTAACTAAAAATGGTTCGTTTGGTACAACAACTAATCGTTAGAAAAAATGTGTTAAATGTGATTATAGCTATTAGATAGACCCTTGTATTTCTTGTCTACCATTGCGAATCCGCATTGCTATTCTGCATTCATCCTATCATTCCAAAATAGGTAGCTCAAACTTAATAGGCCAAAGATTAGGGATTAAGTCTAACCATTGTGGTCCATTACAATTAACGTCAGTTAGGATACTTTCATTCGGTAATCATTGGCAATATTCACTAATCATGTGAAAAGATTTGGAAATGGGGGGACCAATTAGTAATGGTCTCGCTGTCTCTCTGATGGTACCATTGAATTGTTGATGGTAGCATTGATTTGTTGTTAGTTCCAAAGAACCCTTGATCGTGCCATTTAATTCTTGATGGTTCCGAAGAATTCTTGATTGTACTGTTGATTTGGGATTCAAGAATTCAGATTTAAGAACCAAAACCCCGGCTTGTAAATCTGAAAAGGGGTTTGTTCAAAAATGAGGTAAAACCGTTAGTGTATCAGAGCTATCATCCGGGAATAGTGGTGCAGTGTTCAGATGTATATATATCTAGATCGCTCCAAGCTACTTCTTTGCAAGCAGCTGGTGTCACCCGAAGAAAGATCCGACCGGTCCATCTTTCCGAGTGGACCCAAAGAAAGGTCCTACCGGTCCATCTTTCCGAGTGGACCCAAGCAAGTCCCCGCGAGATGATGCCGCACCGGTTCGATCGGAGACTGGTAGCCGTCTCCTTGTCTAATCTCCTGGCTAGCTAGCTAGTAGCTGTAGTCCGAGCCCCACTTTGTCAATCCACGACACTTCATCACGATACATCTCATTCAGTATGGCACCCTCCGGAAAACCATGAGCTACAGTATGCTAACGAAGAGCCAAAAGCTGCTGCTACCAGTTCTCGGGGGGAAAACTGACAATGCTCTCTGTGATTGACAATGGGACTCGACTCAGTCATTCGACTAAATCGACGCTACACAATCTTTTTGACCGTTGGAGCGCGCTCGCCTCCCAAGCACAAAGCATAATCTGTCCGGTGATATCCTCGTAGAGCTAGTACATTTTCTACACAGCCGTTAATTTGCCGGATGAGACGTGCGTGATAAAGTAAGGGAATTCTCATTTCGAATTCCTTGTTTCAGCCGTTTCAAATGTGCATGCCGGAGTTAAAGGAAATTAAGACACGAATCGAATCTTACTGCTATTTTGATAGTAAAACTTGACAAGATTAAACCGTTTCTCAAGACGGGTTCTTTTCTGTGGTCTGTACTCAAAAATCGATGTCTTAGGATGACGTGGACACAGTAAAATAGTACAAATAAAAACCGCACATCTTTGGAAATCTCTTTAGGAAAAGAACACTGGCCGGAAAAGACATCTTCGTGACACCAGTCAAATTAACCGTTGACGCAACCGCATGGTACATGTAACCAGTATCAGCGGCAACAACATTTTTCCACATGCTGAGACAATTCCCATGCTATTTGTTGCTGTAGGAGACCATGGAAAATTGAACTTGTTGCTGTTAGTCCACTAGTTGTTGTCTAACGGAAGGTTAAGAGAAGCAAGGTTTTAAAGAGAAGGTAAACAGTCGTAGCCTCTCCGACTCGACTCACTCTCCGACGCACGAAAAAAAGGATCATCTCCAGTCATCGGTTCCATAAATTCAGCCAACGAAATGCGTAAGCTATGCCCTTTTCTCTTCTTCCTCCTTCCTCGCTCGACACTCCACAATGGCGGCTTCGATCCATCGAGAACAACACCGATCGGAGCGATCGGAGCGTTGGTAGGCTTCGTCAACAACAGCGAGCGATCTGCAGCAACAGCATCTGCTCTAGTTAGTCTCTCTCTCGGATTATCACTGTACAGATTACATACAAATGACGGCCCTCTTCATTGACAGCCTCGGTCTCGGCTGCAATCTCGTCTGCGGTCTCGGCACTGTTCCAGGCCTTCGGCCTTCCTTTCGTGCCTTGCCCTTGCCTCGATCTTGCCTCGTCCTCGTCTTAAGATCTCCGGCCTGCGTGCTACTGTACGCGTCGCACTCGGCTTCGCCTCGGAATCGCGCGTCCATAGCGCGCGGCCGTCGATCTTCAATTTAGCGGACCGTTTTTATACAAGATCCAACCCTTGGACGACCATCGTGAAAACACAAAAGAGACCAACCTTGAGGTCTGTTGTCCATCCCTTCGTCATCTCAGATCAGCCAAAGCAGAGACAGCTCGTCGATCTAGCTGGCAAGCTGGCAGTCAAACTTGGCATTGCTCTGATCGATCAATCGATCAATCCGTTGAGCGAGGAACTGCAGTACAGTACAGTCAGTAGTGTGAGTTGCACTGTATCGTGTAAAGTAAGTTTGTGGTGGTTACATACCGTAGTGGATGAACCACAAGCTCTTGTCCTTGGTTTTGGACGACAACAATCCCCAGCACAACAGCAGTAGTACCACTGGTACAAGCAGCAGTCGCCACAACAAGGCAGACTTGGATTCGCTCTTTACTTGTTGCAGTGATTTGTACAGCAGTCCCTATAAGACTGGGAGTAGCGCTCCGTTTATTCATCACTATCGGCCGCATCAAGATCAACAAGAACGACTCGGCGGTGTCGATCCACTCCGCTTGTATTGTCAACAACAGAATTCTCTAGTGAGTAGTGACGATAGCGACAGTGACGTGGGCATTACAACTACTACTAGTACGACAACAATGACGGATCCTTTGAATGCATCGGCGGAAGACGATTTGGACGCGTTGTTGGCGCAGGCGGACTCGATGATTTCAGCGGCGTCTTCTGGTGGAAATCCTTCCATTGTCATTGATGGCTTTGCCATTGACTCTGATGAAGAAGATGAGGACAACAACAACAATAGTAAAGATGGAAAAATTGTAGACGTCTCGATGGATTCACCCAACAATCTCCCTCGACAAGTCAACAACACTCCTACTACTGGTACAATGGCACCCAAGGCACCCATCAAACCAGGAGAAGATCCTCTCCTACATCCATTGCACGAAGACGTGGTACACCAACACGCTACACCACAAAACACTTCCACTAGTACTGCCGCCTCGGCGTTTTCGGCCGCTTCCGTGACTACGGCAATGCGCAATCTGGGTGTCAATGCCGACGCGGCAGCACTCGAATCACAATTCAAAGCACAAACATCTCGATTTGCGGCAAACGTGTCCTCCATGGCACAACGATTCGCACGAAACGGCAGTAGTGGCACGAACACGCCCATGGGAAACAGTTTTGAAGCCAATATTCCTCCACCCATGTCCGTGCCATCACCCAACAGCGCTATGCACAACAGCAACAACAACAGCAACAACAATAGTCCCTACGCCAGTCAGTCCAATAGTCTACACGGTACTACTCCTGTCAATAATGCTCCTGGAGGAGTCCCCATGATGAATTTTGAATTGGATACCGAACAAAAGACGGCACTGGTCGAATGGCATGTCCGAAAACTATTGCCAGGAGAACGTGTCATTATGTTTCTACACAATTTATTACACGTTTCCGATTCCAGAGAATCCTTTCAATACGCCGCTCAACCGGGATCGGCTGTTGTGTGGTGCTGTGCCATGACGTACTATCGATTGATTGTATTTGGAACGACCCAAGAAGTCATCATGCATGTCATGAATTCCGCCAATAACGGAGCAACGGCACCCGGTGCCGAACGACCCACGCTATTACAACATCCCTTTACCGCCCCACAAAGCTGGAATGCATCGTGTTGGCCACCGGCGTTTGCCACGGTCATGGAAGTCCCACTCGCATCGATGGAAAAGGTCGAAAAAACGGTCTACACGGCAGCGGCCGTTCAAGGAGCATCGCCTCATCATCCCGGACGTCCCACGTCGTTAATGGGATTGCAAGTATGGGCCAAGGAAGGACGCGTTTGGAGAATCACCACGCCATCGTATGCCGATACGCTCCGCGCTCATCAGGCATTGTTGACGTATGCATTTCCAGGAAGACGCAATTTAGGATATCTCTTTGCCTTTGAATCCAAACGAGCCGCGGTTGTCAATAGCGTCGTGACGGATCCAGCCACGGGACAGAAAACAGTCAGTTTGGCATTGACGCGAAGACGATTCGATGCACTGGTCGAATTTCAACGACAATTCAATAGTCGAGGGGCATCGCCCGTTCAACCATGGAAAATTTGGACTCAAATCAATTCGCAATATCAACTCTGCATGTCCTATCCCAATGTACTGGTGGGACCCGCGTCGCTCGATGAACACAATCCCGATGCCGTGCGGCTCTTGCAAGCGTGTGCCGGATTTCGAAGCGAACAACGATTGCCGGCGTTGGCGTGGGGATCGGGAATTGACGGTGCGAGTATTTGGAGATGTTCTCAACCCAAAATTGGATTGCAAGGAAATCGAAGCAGCGCCGATGAATTGGTCCTCAAACACATTATGGAAGCGGCCAAATCGGCCAATGCATTACGGGAACAACCACTCCCCGTGCGGATGGATGCGCATTTGCTACAAGTCTTTACCGGGGCGTCCGGTCAAGATTTGGCCAATACGCACTGGGTCAAGGAATCCAATTGTGCTCTAAAGATTTTGGATTTGCGACCACGCAGTGCTGCCATGGCCAATCGAACGGGTGGATACGGCTACGAGAATACATCCAACTATCCGGGAACAACGTTGCAGTTTTGCAACATTGGAAACATTCACGCCGTCCGTGATGCCTATCAAAAACTTACCGCGCTCTGCCTCAACATGTCCAATGCATCGGATATCAATTGGGGCTCGGCATTGGAAGATACCAAGTGGTTGTCTCATATTCGAATCATTTTGGCAGCCGCTTGGGAAACAGCCTTTTGGGTGCAAGTGCATCGAATGCCCGTATTGTTGCACTGCAGTCATGGATGGGATCGGACGTCACAGGTCAGTGCATTGGCACAACTCATGCTCGATCCGTACTATCGAACGTTGGAGGGATTTGCCTGTCTCATGGAGAAGGATTTTATGAGTTTTGGACACCCGTTTCATACCCGCTGTGCACATGGCGAGGGCAAGGGTGGAGCCGAAGGAGGTGGGGGTGTGCATCATCAAGACGGTTCTGGAAAGGGTCCCACGGCGGTGGGAAACAGCAGCGCACCGGATGAAGGCCAGATTTCTCCAGTATTCCTCCAGTTCCTGGACTGCGTTTGGCAAATTGTCCAGCAATTTCCCGAGTGCTTTGAGTTTACCACTACCTACATACTGGAATTGAGCGATCACATTTATTCGTGTCGGTTCGGGAACATGCTCTGTGATACCGAGCGAGAACGTGAGTTGGTGGCAGGTATTCGGCAACGGACCTATTCGGTGTGGGATCACTTGGAACAAGATCCCAACGATCCAAACAGTGATCCGGAGGCCAAGTTGTGGCGCAACCCGCACTACGATCCAAGTCCCACGGCAGGAGGAGGCGTCTTGTTGATGCCAATGTCAACCTTGCTGCGAAATGTTACGCTATGGCGTGAGAGACATGCTCGTTCGGGACCCAAGGCGACAAAACGATGGCGAAACACATTCACGTCCTAGCAAGTTGATGCACGCATTGGTTTCATGATTGAGTTGTTAGCAGCCCACGCGGCGTTTGGCTTCCAGCCTTGCGTGAGTTTGCTGATACCTGGTAGGCTTCTGCCACACTAATAGTGCTAGTAGAGGAATGAACAGATGTAACCCTTTCTTCGTTCGCACGCCAGAGATCCAGTCTGTGGCCTCACATGACAGAGTTTTCCAAGGACCATTCACATCAAAACCCATTCGCAGAAATGCATCTAACGGCCGGACAAAGCCAAGAAATGGATACCCTTCCGTTAACGCAGAACCAGTACTAGTATGCATACGTACCGCAGGCTACCGGTACCTTGATCTCTGTGGCAAGAGTAGTACAACGGAAAATTTCAGCAGAGCCGTGTGATTCCGCGCTGCAGAATCTTGGTCTTCTCCTTTTGCCCAAGGCTTCTTGTTACGAAGATGCGGTAGATGTTATTTTCGCTGACTATCATTTCTCAGCGGAGACGTCTTGCAAGATGGTGCTAAACAAGATCAACTGTCGAGCTCAGCCTGGGGAGCTGGAATCTCTCAAGGATGACATTTCTTCCTTCAGCCGAGGGCCCCTGGATCGATACGATCTCGACTCCATAGGGTTCGCTCGTCTCGGATTGACGAGGAAGCGAGTTGCGCTGAGTATTCTCACCTTTGCCGTGGCAGGATTTGTTGGCATTCTTCGATGGACTTTCTCTCCTGAATCGATCGTGACGACTGTCACTCCTATCCCAACCTCTTCCGACGCGGTTCCAGAGAAGTTGAATCTTATGATGGACAAGTTGGAACGGCTGGGCGACCAAGTCGAAAGGCTTGTATCGTCGAACCTCAAGGAGCAGACCCCGGACACTGCCAAAAAAGCACAACAAACCGAAGTTGAAAAGAGACTTGAAAAGGTGGTCCAAGGCGCAAAACAGTGGTTTGACGACACAGTTTCTGACAAGCTGCAGGAGATAAACCACACAGTCGTAGATATGCATCAGCAACTTGCCCAAGAGGCACGAGATATCGCAGAGGAATTGGACCGAAAAATCACAACCAGATTGAAAAGTCTAGAAGAGAGTATTGCCGATCGAGTAGAGGATCTCGCTCGTACAGCCTCAGAGACGCAAGAAAGAATAATTGATCTTGCACACAACAGGACACTGGTGTTCCTCAACCATCTAGACATGAAGATCTCCGTCCACGAAGACCTAGACTTGAAGTTGTTTGCTGCCTTGAACACCCTCAACGAGACCATCAAAAGCCTGCAATGGGACGGAAACAAAACTAGTGCACATCAGATAATGATGGAAGAAAGGATGAAGCTCGAATTCAACAGGACTTTGGATGCCCTCAACCATATGGAGAGAGATTTCTCTGCCACCGAAAACCGAGAGCTGAAGTTGTCTGCAGCCTTCGACACCCTCAATGAGACGGTTGCACACCTACAACAGGAAGAAAGCGCAACCGATGAAGACCTCCAACAAATTCAAGAAAGGATGGAGCTTGAATCCAACAGAACTTTGTATGCTCTAAAACATTTGGAGAGTAACGTCTCTGCCAACCAAGACCAAGACATGAAGTTGTCTGCATCTGTGGACGCATTCAACAAGACAGTGGTTGGCCTACAATCAGAAGAAAACAGAACGGACGCTCGCCTCCAAATGCTGGAAAATGAGCACATCGAGGCGGGTTCATTTTCAGTGCTCTTTTCACCACCAAAGCACGGGTGGCTCCGATCGAGGAAACATGAACCCGAGGATCACTACCGCATCGTTGAGTTTCAAGCAGTATTCATGCGGACACCCCAGGTGACCACGAGCATCTCTGATATCTATTCACCGGCAACGAGGCAAGCTTTGGACATGAAGATTTTCAACGTTTCAAACACTGGCTTTGTTGTGAAGGTGACGGTGAAGGACTTTCCAGTGGACATGCAAGTAGAGTGGGTTGCCTCTGACGCCAACGGCCCACCAAAACAGAAAGAGGAGACAACATTTGATTCAGAAAAGTGGTTTAGCGACTAAAGATGAGTGTGAAAACTTGCAAGATGAGGTTATTGTACATGTACTGTCGGTATCGGATTCAAGTGATCGAGCTGGAACTCTACGATGTGTTGGTTGGTCGTCTTTTCGATCGGAGCTGCTGGTATTTTCGATGTTTTTACGTATGGTGGAGCTAACGAGGTGATTGGTAGCATTGGCTAAAGACGAATGATTTGCATGATTTACGTACTACTAGTATGGTAGTGCCGATGCTTGGGTCTGTTTCGTCGGCAACTGAGCATTGGCCTCCACTGTTCCTGTCTCCGTTGCATTGTTGCCCCACACCAGCTAGCTGGTACCGGTGGTAGAGTCCTTTGGAGAAACAATGGCATATTTCTGTTCATAAACCTTTCACCGCTGCTGCCAATGACGGTCCACTCTACCAGGTACTGGTCTCAGAGCCTGCGATGCAAGTGGCTGCTGCTCGTGGCTATCATCATGTTCCGGTACGAGTACGGTAGTATGTACTTCCGCAGCCAACTTTGAGAGACAGGGGTAGACTACGGTAGCTACTACCGGTACGGTACCGGTACGCACCAGTTTTAAATTAGCCTTCTTGTGACTGTAGCTGTACCTGGTACCGATACCATGATACCGGAGTGCTCGAGCAGGATGACTCTCTGGGGTTAAGAGGCTGTAAAAAGTACAAATCAAAAACGCTTCGGTTAAATCCCACTTCTTTCGATCAAGACCATCCCAAAGTCATTCTGAAAGTGAAGAACAGAAGTGAGCAATGAAGAACAAAGATGGCTGTAAAACAGCCATTGCCGACTGCCTATGGTACCTGCTCCTGGCCTGCTGGAGATGTTGAAGTATTATTCTCAGACTATGGCACCGGTACGTCATTGTTTCAATCTGAAGAGCTCGAGCACTTCCCGAGCTGCCACCTCAACTGCCCCATCACCGCACTCAGCAAAGCCTTACTGGGGAGATAAGCACATGCTCTCACCACTACTAGCTAGTAGAGGTAGAGCTGCAAGGTAATTATCGTCCAGGAGCTGCCCGGATGCTCCCGCAATCACACCTGGGCAGTAACTCCAACTCCCTCCTCCAGCCCATTTTTTCAACAACAGTCACCCTCTCTTCCACACGCCCACAACACCCTCACTTCCACCTCCAGAAACAGGAACGACAGAACGATGCCAGAGGTTAGCAAAGAGCTTGGACTCGACACTTCTGTCATGTCCCAGGAGAGCCACGATGGGATTCGTACAGCACGTAGCCTTCCAAAGGGACGCCATAGAAGAAACGTCAACGTAAGTTGGTGACGCTCGTCGCTGAATGAATGACTGCTCCAAACCCCTGAAATCTGCCCTTTGCGCTGCACTCACTGACACTGTTGTTTCGATAATACTCTTGAGGTACAGCTATTCCTTGCATCTCTCTGCTTGCTGGCAGCAGGTCTGGTATTGACAACCTACTTCTTGCTACGAAAAACAGAAGAGATTCAGTTTGAGACTGCATTTTCCATCTTTGCAAGGGAGACTGCTGTGATTGCTGAAATGCAAGCATCGAATGTCTTTGGCCAGCTTCAGAGCCTAGCATCGGCAGTTAGGTCTGGAGTGGAAACACCTGAACAGCGCTACCCCCACAAGATTTCCATTCCAGACTTCGACTTGCGGGCCGAGGAGATTGCCAACTTGACTGAGATTGAACTCCTCATGTTCGTACCCTTTGTTCCTCATGAAGAGCGACGAGAATGGGAGGAGTTTCAGCTGCTGAACCAGGAATGGATTATGGAAGGATATGTATGTGAACGATGTTCCGTGCTTGTTTGACCAGGGGCTTGGAGGACTCACATTCTCTGTTACCTGTGTAGACTGAACGTGGATGGAACACGTCTCACTTGAAGACCATTCCTCACCAAATCTACAACTACACCCTTCCAGAGGGATACAATGATACTAGGAGAGGCTTTGTGGATACAGGCTTCATGGAAGGCATTCTTTCCAATCACACACCAGCTACCAAGATGGGCGGCGTCAGCGTTCCAGTGGCCCAGATTGGACCAAGACTCAATGATACCTCGATAGTTATGATGGATCTGTTCACACACCCAATCTTCAGGAAGGAAATAATTGCTTCTTTGGAGTATGATGTACCTGTCATCTCTGAGGTGGAAGACCTTGAGTTCCTGCTACAGCATGTTGTGCCGCTCTCAGGTGAAGAAGTGGACTATTCAATACCCCGAAGTTTTACTTTGGACCCAGTCAAGGCAGGCTTTGGCAAGGATTCTATCACAGTTGGCTTTGTTGTTGGAATCATCCAGTGGGGTGCTTTCTTCCGGACTTTGCTCCCTTCCAATGTTAATGGCATTGTTGTGAATATAGAGTCTGACTGTGGCAGGAGTTTCACCTACATCATCAATGGAGGAAAAAAGGATGATTGCAACCTGGATGGAATCACTGTTCCTGAGAGCAAGTACCAGCATCTGGAACAACGATATCAGTTCTTCTGGAAAGACCACCCAAAAGGAACCTCCCGTCACTGCCATTTTGATCTTGTCATCACCCCCTCTAGTGAATTTGCTATGGCATACATGACCAACACTCCCATTCTTTGGGCAGGTGTTGTCCTGTCTCTGTTTGTGGTAATTGGTTTGGCTTTCGCTCTGTACGACTTTTACAACCACAAGAAACAAGTAAGGATATCGATGGAAAAGGAGAGGGCTGAGGCTGTTGTCTCTTCACTTTTCCCAAAACATGTGGGTAACCAGCTCCTAGAGGAACAAGCTAGAGACACTGAGTGGCAAGCCATTGACCAAGAGAGGAGAGCCAAGCCTCTTGCTGAGCTATTTCCATCTGCAACTATCATGTTCGCTGACCTCAAAGGTACGTGGCACTGCATATGCAAATCCAGTTGATTGGAAATGTTTTCTAACCATGGTGGACACTGTATCACCACAATATTGCTAGGATTCACTGCATGGTCATCAAACAGGCCGCCATCAGATGTGTTTATGCTGCTCGAAACTGTAAGACGCAGAATGCAACAGAGACTGTTTGTACGGCATTTCACAGCTCAAACCTCACATGCTTTCACTTGAACAGATCTACCATGAAATGGATGCAATCGCTAAAAGACGCAAAGTATTCAAAATAGGTGAGTTACGCTGTTTGCTTTCGTATGCATGTACATTCCTACCAGCCTTTCTCATTGAACTTTTCAATGGCTAACGAATCAATTCTCTTAGAAACGATTGGGGATTGCTATGTTGCTGTGTGTGGCCGTAAGTGTTACCGACAACTGCTGCGGAATGAGCACTTTGGTGACTTCTCAAACCCTCCTTGATTTCGTTTTCAGTTCCCCGTGAGTTGATGAGGAGCAGCCACATCGATCCATCTCAAATTGTCATGACCTAACCTTGTTTCTTTTCCACTGATCTTTTAGGGCAACGCGATGACCATGCTGTAGTCATGGCACGGTTTGCACAGGATTGTCTAGAAAAGTTCCATGAATTGGTTACCATGCTAGATGTAGATCTTCCTGGGACTGCAGCACTTGAGCTTCGGACTGGCCTCCACAGTGGCCCAGTGACAGTGAGTGTCTTTTTGGTTGCGGCTGTAATCTCATTTCCGTGCCTAATTCCACAGTTTGATTCCTCTCTTAGGCTGGTGTGTTGCGTGGAGAGCGGGTAAGTCAGCTGGTTCCCTTTGTCTAGTTACCTATCTTGACAACAAATCTAACGTCCTTGTTTGCCAACCTGGCTTCACTGCAGGCGCGTTTCCAGCTCTTCGGGGATACAGGTGCGTACACCAGATCGTGTGTAAATGAATGAATGCATCAGGCTCCCATATTCGTTGTAACTGACCTTGGTCCTTCATGTTTTCAGTCAACACTACATCCAGAATTGAGTCAACTGGCGAGGGTAGCAGAATTCATCTATCTCAACAGTTTGCTGATGAATTGATCAAGTGTGATAAGGGACACTGGGTGGTGCCCCGAGAATACAAGGTCCAAGCTAAAGGGAAGGGGACTCTTAGCACGTTCTGGTTGCAGGTTGGAGAAACAGAACTGAGGAAATCAAGCACGGGCAGCCATAACACACTGACGACATCAGAAACACCTCCACAATCACAAGAAGACTTCGGCGAGACATCTCCGGACTGCGACGAGGCTGCTGCTGAATCTGACGATTTTTCTGATATTTCTGATTCCTTCGCCGACGAAACCTCCACATTGTAACATTCCTCCACTTTGAACCATGCCTCGTTTCTCGTTTCGAACCATTCCTCACTTCATTTCGTATCGGTTTGAAAGCTATTACAAGTTGTATGCAATAGTATTCATCATAGCGATGGTGGACCTTGGGCAAAAGCTTGGCCTCCAGCATAGCTAGCTAGCATTAGTAGACAGAATTGGTACGAAAGGAAAGCCCATGCGAAGGATGGAACTGCTCCTCGGGACCAACGACGAAACCAGAAATGAATGCCCATGGCTACAATAATGGCTACTGAGGATATCACCCCCCCTGACGCTCGCCGCTGTGCTGCCCATGAGGCTCTGTGGACTCTAGTTCTCTTGTAGTAGGATGTTCAAGCCAAGCAATCACCGTAGCTACGCCTTCCGTAACACGTTTGTCCTGTCATGTCTTGTGGGTAGATGCCTTAGACAGAGTGGCAGTCACGGTCTAAAAAACTACGCATCTGGCTAGGCTGGCCAGCGGTCCAATCTCCAAAACCAGAGTCCTGATCAAATGGCCTGGACACGGCACTCTCACCGATACGGTCTCTCGCATGGATCGTCTTGGAGCTCGGAGCCCAGGAACCAGCAACATCTTGGACGACCTATTTGGATCCTCTAAAGGCTGTACCTCTCATGTTCGACCATCATCAGCAGTTAGTTTCTTCTGAAGCAACAAGCAAACCATAAATTTACAGAGAATAAACCGCGCGTTGGTGGGTCGCAAAGCCCAGACCACTCAACATCTGGTACGAGAGCTCTGTTCCTAGTTGCGGCTCAAACTAGTGTGACTGAAAGTAGTATAGAGAGTATAGTACATGTGTGACGTATACGCGTACGGTACATGTACTGAAGTACCGATAGTACCTACAGTAGTGAGTCCGCGGCGGACATTATGTGTGCTGTATGTAGACTACTGTACATGACTTAGTACATAACATGTACCTACTTCCGGCCGTTGTATGTTGTATGACCTGCTGGCTGTCCCTAAAACGAAAAAGGAAGTCATGAAAACAGGCACAAGGAATCAAGGAAACACAATAAATCCGTAAATTTTTCTTAGGAGACCTCAATGTAATAATTAGTAGGAGTTTTGGTCGCAAACTCCCGAAAAAGACTAATGTGGTCCGACAATTCTTACATAAATTCAAGTTTCAGAGCTTCAGAGCTTTTGCTTTAAATCAATCAAGTCTTGTGAAGAAGGTCAAGCGATAGCTTGCGATTTATTGCGTTGGCTCTATTCATTTCGTTCCTTCTCTGTTCTTTTCAGGAGGTGAGAGGATTAACGGATTAACGCTTTACTTTATGCTGAAGATAACGAAAAATTCATCAATCCACAATTTACTCAAACTCCCTTATATTGAGAGGTCTTCTCGCTTCTGGTTCTCTCTATCCAAGGCGGTATTGATCATTGATCGTTGAGTGATGTTCTCCTTAAAACGCGGTTTCGCGTCAAGCAGCAAGGAGAGTTCAAAGGAAGCAGAAAGCAGAGACGTTCCGATAGAGCCATCGCAACGATTCCAGCAACTTTCCACCTTTCCGATTCTCAGTTTCATTAATTTCTCTGGCTATTTTAGCAAGCTGGCTCTAGAAGCCCTCCCCGAATTGCACCCACCCGACCACACACTAATCTTTCACCTTTTCCTGTTGATCTAACGAAATGATGCAAGCCAGTACGATCCCAGAGGGCACGGAGGATAGCCAAGAGTTTGGTATCGACGCTTCCGAGGTGTCAAAGGAAGAAAACGGAGATGAGGCAGCTGCCAGGGTACACATCAGCCATCATGGAAGAAACATTAGCGTAAGTTTCCGCCTGTTTTCAAATCGGTAATACATGGATGCATGTGCGGTACCGTACTGACTGGTGTTTGGCCGTGATCACATATCTCTGGTCACAGCTTATCCTCGCAGCCCTGGGCTTGACAGCTACCTCTATGGTTTTGATGACCTACTTCTTGTTAAGCTCCAGTGAACGGATCCAGTTTGAGACCGCCTTCGAGATCTTCACTAGAGAGACTGCTGTGATTGCTGAGATGCATGCAGAGAATGTCTTTGGCCAGCTTCAGAGTCTCGCATCTTCCGTTAGGTCGGGGATTGCTCAGAATCCGCAGCAGTATCTCCATGAGGTTTCCGTTCCTGACTTCGATGTGCGTACAGAGGAGATTGCCAACTTGACCAATATTGAGCTGCTCATGTTTGCACCCTTTGTTCCCCGCGAGGAACAAAGGGCCTGGGAGGAGTTCCAACTCCTGAATCAGGAATGGATCTTGGACGGATATGTAAGTAAACGATGCTCCACGCTTGTTTGACCAGGGGCTTGGAGGTCACTAGACTAACTTTCTCTGTACACTGTGTAGGTTAAACGCGGATGGAACACGTCTCACCTGAAGGCCATTCCGCGCCAAATCCACAACTATCCTCTACCAGAGGGCTACAATGACACAAGGAGAGGCTATGTGGATACAGGCTTCATGGAAGAAATCGTTGCCAACCACACAGTAGCACATAACAAGACAGGTGGAACCAGCGTTCCAGTGGCTCAGATTGGACCAAGACTCAATGATACCTCGATTGTGATGATGGATCTCTTCACGCACCCAATCTTCAAGAAGGAAATCGTTGCTTCACTGGAGTATGATGTCCCTGTCATCTCTGAATTGGAAGACCTCAGTTTTTTCCTAAAGCATGTCCAACCTCTGTTGTCCGAAGACGTTGACTATTCGGAACCCCGGAGCTTTACTCTGGACCCAGTTCGAGCAGACTTTGGCAAGGATTCTATCACTGTGGGCTATGTGATCGGGATCATTCAGTGGAATGCTTTCTTTCGAGACTTTCTCCCTGCGGACATCAATGGCATCGTGGTGAACATTGAGTCTGACTGTGGCAAACGTTTCACGTATGTGGTCAATGGAGGAAACGAGGATGACAACAACCTTAGTCAATACAACGGCACAGACAAAGAGAGCAAGTACCAGTATCTGGAACAACGTTTTCGGTTTTTCTGGAAGAACCATGCCAAGGGAACCTCCCGCCACTGTCACTTTGATCTTGTCATTAGTCCTGCAGAAGCCTTTGCTGAGGCTTACCTGACCAATGCTCCCATTCTATGGGCTGGCATGGTTCTGGTATTTTTTGTTACAGCTGGTGTGGCTTTCTTTTTGTATGACTTTTACATTCACAAGCAGCAAGTCAAAATCTCAAAGGAAAAGGCGAGGGCCGAGGCAGTTGTGACCTCCCTGTTTCCAGAACATGTAGGACAGAAGCTTATGGAAGAACTGGATAGAGATGATGATTGGCAAGCTGATGTGCGACAACGGCAAGATAAGCCTCTTGCGGAGCTATTTCCATCTGCAACTATCATGTTTGCAGACATCAAAGGTAAGGTGGTCACACCACACAAGTCATGTTGATTGGAGATGTGTTTCTAACAGTGGTAGTTGTTGTATGATTCTTTGGTTAAAAGGTTTCACTGCGTGGTCATCAAGCAGGCAGCCATCGGATGTATTTACGCTCCTCGAAACGGTAAGTTACATGAGGCAGCATGGAGTCGTCAATGGCACCACATGGCTCAAGCCTCGCATGCTTTCACTTGAACAGATCTACCATGAAATGGATGCAATCGCTAAACGACGCAAAGTATTCAAAATTGGTGAGTGCTTGGGTGTGTTCCATGGTTATGTGCGACGCCATGACCAGCTTAACTCATGTCACTGTTCAATCGTTCAATCAATTTCACAGAGACAATTGGGGATTGTTATGTGGCTGTCTGTGGCCGTACGTGTTCGATACACCGTCTCTGGATGATTGAACACATGACAGTGTTCTTACTTTGTCCTTGATTGCCCTTTCTCTTGTAGTTCCCCGTGAGTTGACTTGAGTAACAGACACACGGGCCCTCATCCAACTAGTCCCGCATCTCACAGTGTTCACCCTCAACGCCTCTCCTCAGGTCCACGAGATAACCATGCTGTTGTCATGGCACGGTTTGCGAACGATTGCCTAGAAAAGTTCCGGGAATTGGTCACCATGTTGGATGTAGATCTTCCAGGGACATCAAAACTGGAGCTTCGCACAGGACTCCACAGCGGCCCAGTGACTGTGAGTTTGTTCTTTGAGTGAATCTGTTGGCTCTTTTTGCCCCCACCTAACGCCAGTTGGTTCCACTGTTTGATTTTGTATCCGAAGGCTGGTGTATTGCGTGGAGAGAGGGTAAGTCTGCGGAATGATTCAATCATAAATTTGAAGTTCAAAAAATGTATCTAACAATATCGTTTCCATCATTGTTGATGTACGGGTAGGCTCGATTCCAGCTCTTTGGGGATACAGGTATGCTCATCCTGCATCAGGTTTTATCAGATATCCACTTGAGTTCTCAGTGTACTTACCTATTCCCCTTTCTTGTTGCTGGTACCTGTTCCCTTTTAGTAAACACCACCGCCAGAATTGAGTCAACTGGCGAGGGTAGCCGGATTCATATGTCAGAGCAGTTTGCCAATGAACTAATCAAGTTTGGCAAGGGGCATTGGATAGTGCCTCGTGAAGACAAAGTGGAAGCTAAGGGGAAGGGAATCCTTACCACATTCTGGTTGCAGGTCACGGCATCACCAGAACAAAGTGTCCTTAGTGGCGATTACTCAGAAACGTTTCATGATGAGTACGACTTCAGTTTGGGAATGCCAAAACCTTCACGCAACTTTGGGAGCAGCAACCATACTTCTGAAGCATCACACTCCGGCCACGACGACAGTGACAGATCCTCGAGAACACCACCCTCCACTGGCATTTTTGAGATATCCCAACCTTCTATCCGAGGTTCCAAAAGCGGGGAAACGAAGGCAAACCATGACAACAGCGATGATAGTGACAGTTGGGTTTAGCTGGAGAGAAAGCCTGGGAAGCACCGTTTCAAAATTCCATTTGGGTGCTGCTTGCATAAAAGGGAGAGGAAATCAAGCGATTATCATTCATGAGCAATATCAACAATGAGCCCAACACGGGGGTGCCACGGCATTTGTGGATGGCTGGGGCCTTTCCAATACACGCTTCCTGCTTCTCTCGAGCCAGCAAGTCTACTTTGCCTTTCCCTTGGTAGTACGGCTATGCTGTACAGGACTTTTATAGTAACCATTAGGTTTACGTTTAGTCAATTTGTGGCAGCATATCCAATGATGCGCCATGTCATTCTCTTTTAGAAGTCTTCACTCTTCAGAAAATGGGCGATCATGAATCCAAGCTAATTAAAGACGATCTTGCAGTTTGGGGCCGGGCGAACCCTACTGTAAATGTTAGAATAACAAGGAATCCAATCAGGGAGTCGAGTCCGCACACACAACAAAGGTGACTGGTACCTGGTGCCGGTAGTAGGTGGTGCTGGTTGTGGTACTGGTACCGCACGGTGGAATGTGAATGGATTGAATCGAATCGATTGAATCATGTTACGGGAGAGAGAGCGAACGGTGGCCTCGCGGGAGTCCTCTCGGAGCCGCGAGGCTAAGGTGGCAACGCAACAACAAACGACCCCACCGGATTATTTGTTGCTGGCACTACATGATGTAGCAGCTGAGGTGGTTCCCGTGGTGGTCGAGTGTAACCTCGATTCCTCCGGTCATTTGGAAACTCGACCGTGGCTCGAGTACACAGTGTACCGTCCACCGAATGCTAGTTAGAGTCTATATGCCATGGCCTGCCATACCCATCACGGGAAAACACGGCGGGTCATCAACGTCAAATAAAGCCGCCAACCAAACGATAAACGAAAACGTCAACGGGACCGTACGATATGAGAATAGAGACATGTTGAGCGAGTTTTAGCTTAACAATCTGGTCAGGGGATGTGCAGGACAGACCATGTCCTAAGTGTCCCCGATACTGAATGCAAATCCTCTAACAGTTTCAAACGATCATACCGCCAGAGGCCGTCCATACCCACGACGGACGTTGGGGATATGCTCCAATAGCGTTCTATTTGGGAAACATGGATAGAAGCAAAGATCCCGTCCAGTCAAGTGAAGAATCTCAGCTATCTTCGCCGATGGATTCATCATTCGATTCTGTTGCATTCCAAAAGCTCTCACAATTCCAATCATCGTCTTTTGAAAAGCAACTACCTCTGGAACGCAAAACCAACTTTATCTTTTAAGCGTAACCATGAAACTCTCTGCTGCCCTCCCCGCCCTCTTTCTCCCTGCTGCCATCAGCGCCCAAGGTGTCCAACCTGATGCCCGTATCAAAGACTGTTACTTTGTCAAATATTTTGGCTCTGGTACCGACTTGAGTGCCAGCGGTGTGGTCGACTTTAACGTTGTAACTGGTGCAGACGTCGTTTGCCACACTGCCTGTAAGAGAGGCGAGGAAACCTCTGTGGGCTACAACTTTGGTGGTGCCACCACCGGTAGTGGTGATACTGCTACGGATGTTGACCCAGATTGTACCATGAAAACAGAATTTACTGCAACTGCAGACTCGACCTCGTTGGGCTGGTCCATTTCCTTGCCTCTCGAATACAAGAAGGTGGTCATGGCATGCTACTGGTAAGTTCTTCTACAGTGCTTTCCCCGGGCTCCACAATGGATCTCCTCGCATATTGACTAACAAGTTACTGTCTCGTTCCGCACACTCATGATCGTTGGCATCGATTGACGCAGCACTGACGACGGGACTGACTTGACTATTGACAATATTGAGGCAACCATCGATGATATCGAGGAAACCTTTGATAACTACCTCAATGAAGTTCAGGATTACATCGAGAATAACGCTGGATCTCTGGGTGATGGCTGCTTCTCTGAAGACATGACAGTCCAGGTCCTCCACAAGGGGGAGGTCGCTATGAAGGATCTTGAGCTAGGTGACAAAGTCTTGACCGGAAAAGACACATATGAGCCTATCTACACTTTTGGTCACCGCAAGACAGACTTCCAGAAGGAAATGTACCAAATCTACACCGATGGAACCAGCAAGCCCCTGGAGATGACAGGCAATCATATGGTCATGGCCTTGGATGCCAAGGGGCACACCCATTCCACACGTGCTGATCACCTTGAAGTGGGCGACGAGCTCTTTCATGTTGAGTACCAGAAGAAAGTTACAGTGACTGCAGTCCAAACAGAGAAGAAGAAGGGATTGTACATGCCCCTCACTCCCAGTGGTGAAATTGTGGTCAATGGAATCCTTGCCTCCAACTACATTTCCATCTCGGACACTGCCCCAGGTGTTGTAGAACATTCTCAGATGTTCTTCCCAATGAATGAACAGACTTTGTCTCATTGGTGGATGAGCCCTGTCCGCATGCTATGCATGGGAGTCACTTCTGGCTTTTGCAGCAATGGATTTGAGGGAACTTCTGCATATGAAACTCAGGAGGGAGACGAAGGTATCCTTCCCTGGTTGTTGATGGGGCGTCACTTTGCTCATGTTGCCGAGAACCAGCCAACTCTGGTCAGGTTCATGCTGGGAGTCCCTACCTTCTTGCTCTTTGGATTGTTCAATGTTGTGGAACATGCCTTCCTCGGTCCTGCCTATGCGCCTTTCCTCTTCATGGCGGCCGTTGCCTTGGTGGTCGCCCTGAAGAAGAAGTTGGCCAATGGTGAAAGCAGCTTTGAAACATCTGCTGGATACAACTTGTTGAACAGTGTGGTCTAAGGTGTTTGAACGTTTTCAGAATGATTGGAAAGAGGGCATGATGTGATTAGTAATAGCAAGAGATCGAATAATAACCCTTTAGAAAGTTGAGTGTTGGTTGTGAATGGACATCTTCATAGCGAAGTTTCTCTGCTTCGACACTACTAACGGTACCGTAGCTCAGAGCTTGAGACCAAAATGTGTCACCGTACGAAACTTTCGTACCTGTAGCTCGGCGGTCCCTCGTTGCCTCCGACGTGGCGGTGCGGGGACAATGGCTCCATGCTCCATGGGATCATTAGTATGGCGTCGTTGTTTCTTGCATGCCGTGCACTGGTAGAGCCCACTGCAACGCCCGTAGCTTTTAAAATTGCAACCTTTGAAGCGTTTCTCCCTGTTTGTTCTGCTTGGTACTCTTCCCTTGGTAGTCGAAGGCTGACTCGATCGTCGAGACGCCAGCCTGGACCGGTCCTTTTAGTCACCTTTTAACCAGGAAAGAGCCAAGCGGCCCTGGCAGGATCAGATCAGTGAATCATTGCTGCCTGAGCAGTCAGCCAGGAGATCTACGAAGCTAGCCAGTTCCTCGAATGTGATAAGAAGACGATGAAACTAGCAAGTATAGTAGCCAGACGGAGATGATAGCGTAGTTCGTTGTTGGTTTTCATTAGTTATGTTTTCAATTGCTTCTACAGGTAGTTCTTTGTCTGGCTGCAGCTTGGATCACTGCTCGGATCAGACGATATGATCCATGCCTTCGTTGGCTAGCTTCCCGCATCTAAAAATTTCAAGGTATGGATCAAAGAAGCTTTGGCATGTTGCAAACTGCGGTTGGTTGCCACTCTAAAATAGGGATTACCGAGTTGGTAATATGGAAAGCTCTCTAAATCTGAATGGTGCTTTCCTTTGCGACGACAACTTCGGCTGCTGCATCCGCATCCGATTCTTTGATTGTAGCCTCTGTTTTCTGCTGCTGCTGCTGCTGCTTTGCCGCTAGACTCTGCTGGACATCTTGATCATTGGACCCTAACAGGTCATCCATGTAGGTAAAGAATTGTTGATAGTAGACTCGTCCGTCCTTGTGATGGCGTTCGTGACGCGGTGATCCCCCCAGGAATTCGGGCCAAATGTTGTGTGACATCCACGGCAGGTTGTACCCCGAATGTGCTTCTGCCAGCATGTAGGTGACCAATACGTTGTGGATGAGTCGACTCAGCACGTGCTTGGGACCACCAAAGGGACTAATGTGTTGTACCATAATGTTGCACATGACTTGCAGTGTCCCATCAATGTAGGAATGTTGCACCGTTTCCACCGGGTTGAGTGCTCCCTGCGTGTGTCGATGATGGTATCCGTGGACGGCTTTGATTTCTTTCAAGGGTCCCTTGTGCATGAAAATGTGAATGGGTGCAAAGAATAGATCGTATAGGAAGACTCCAAAGGCAACTTCAATGACCAATGCTCCAAAGGTTGGTGCCAAGAGCGGTGGTGGGTTGTAGGAGTGAAAGACTTGTTGGTAGATCCAGATGGATCCCAGGTAGGAAACCAACGGGTTGAACCAAAGTTGAAAGTTTTCCGGTGTGGTCCATTCGAGGGGACTGACTTTGGGAGAGTCTCCATCCAATCTCCATTTCTTGGCTTCGCCATCCCCCATAATCAAATGCGTTACCGAAAAGGCCGCAATGAAAAAGACAAAGGAAAAGGCAGCCACATGGGCTTCAAACAATCGCGTGTGGGCGATATCCCAACTCAACATGCCATCCCATACGGTCTGGACAAACCCATCGAATGGCGCCGGATTTAAGCCGTATGCCACCAGTGTCACCACGGGAGCCACTCGCGCAAATTGCTGAAAGGGCGTAAATTCCCGTGGATTCCGAATGTGCTCGATGCTTTTCACAGGGAGATTGGGGTTCAAACCAACACGGTCCATGCTAAAGTCGACAGCTTCGGGCGCAGCAAAATCAGGACCCGTCAAGCCGTCGATAGTACGGGATGATTGGTAGAGTCTCACGACGCCGTCTACTACTGCACCATGGGAACGCTGGCCAAGAGAAGACGACGATGGAACAAAGGCAGCAGCATTGGATGCCAGCGCCAACAACACAAAGATCAAGCGGCGGGGATTCGAATGAGCTGTCATCTTGCTGCTTTTTAAAAAACAACAACAAAATGCAAGAAGAACTAAATTATGACAACAACAACAACAGAACAATCCAAAAGAAGTTGTAAGACTTGGATAGCACTCTCTCTCTCTCTGACTCGAATCGACGATGCAGCCATGGCAACCAACATTCGTCATGCGTCAGCATCGAATGCAAAATGTGCGTGGGCTGTGTTGGTGGCAATTGCCGCCCGGCCTCTTGTACTTTGTTTCTACAGTGGATCTTTCAGCCATGGTAAACTTCTTTTCTTTGTTGTTCTTTGTTGTTAATTAAATCTATCTGTCGTAAGAAGATACTGCCAGTGCTCTTGCTTTCCATTTTCATTGTTGTTTTAAGCCACTTTGATGGCTTAACATTGATCCACCGCCCGTTCAACACACACCAGCAGACGACAAGGTCCACCGAACACATTACATTTTGCAACCATGGCACCGGCAACACCAGCAGCGGCTACGTTTGCGTCTTCTGCGCCCCCAGCGAAAGCTGCCCGTCGTTCCTCTGGAAAGGCCATGGGGCATTCTCGTTCCTACCCTCGAGGCGTCGGTCTTGATTTCCGCAAATTAGCTGGGGTAAGCTTGTTATTATTAACCCTCCCAGACAGGAGTGGCGTCGTGGTTGTTGTCGTCAGTACCAGGTAGTCTCACCTCTGGATGTTCTGTCCTTTTCATCATCTCTTTGAAAAGTTAACCCTTCTTTCATACATTGACCATCATGTAAGTGAATAATGGTGACGATCAGAAACAAAGAAGTCAACACCGGTACCATTGGCCTGTCGATCTGGTTCGCTGGGTACCCGGTAGACATGATTTGGTTTTTGGAGTCAGACGCTGGCTCAACTCCTTTTATTATCCGATCGTCTTTTTCCACACAGGCGGTTTCCGTGCGCCCGGAAGCTCCTCCGTCAGAATTGGCAGTGGCGGTCGCTCGTCACTTTGAAGGGATGGAAGTTGATGAGGAAGAATGCATTGGTGGATTTTTGGAGCGATTGGAAAAGGGAACCGGAGCAACCGAATACTCTCGAAAGACCGCCTACTTTGATGGCAGAATGCCTCAGCCTGCCGTGAGGAAGCGAAAGCGGACCAAGTTGGCAGCTCGCCCTGGTGAACAGGTGCGTACTCTTCGTTCGAATCTACTCTACTCGTAATTATTTGTCGACGGGTGCGGGAAGGCTCTTATTCTGACATTTTAAAATGCATTGTTTGCTTATTAGGTCGCTGCCAAGGTCACAAGGACCGATGAAAACGGCAGCTGGATCCTTGCTAGTGTCCAAAGGTTTTATTCGGAGCAGGACACCTACGATGTGCAGGATGAAGATGACACCAGCAAGTTAATTCGCTTGCCATGGTCTCATGTTATGCGCCTCTCAACTGGCGTGGAAGGATGCTTCGCAAAGGGAACAGATTGCATGGCCATCTTCCCAGAAACGACATCGTTCTACAGAGCCAAAGTTAGCAAAGACCCTGTTTGGAAGCTTGATAGGTCCAGTTCTCCCGTTGTGAAGGAAATCATTGTCAAGTTTGAAGATGACGAAGACCAGCAAGGTCGCACTCCCCATCGACGCGTTCCCGCTCGTTACGTCATTCCCATCCCCAATCAGTACTTCTACGATGAATTGGAGGATGCTGATCTCTCTCCACCCCAAGGAAAGTAAACAAAATGGCGGAATGATCGTGTTGGCAAGCAACCCGATGGGTTGATGAGAATTGGACGGAAGGATTGTGACTTCGCTGTGACGACCAGTCAGGAAACTCAATATATGTGTTGGAGCTGAGACAAGGTCATTATAAGCTAGTTTGTTTTGTCTGCAAAGTTTTGATGGATGGCACAGCTATGATTTGAATGCCGGAACTGGTACGTACCAAGTAATTCGGCAGCGTTTCCTCTGAAGCCCCGAACTAGTATGCAAGATTTACGGCGTCATCATCATTTCATTTCTTTCATGGACACTAGTCTATCAAGTGTCTTGACATAATATAAGCTAGATGAGAACCAAAGCTTGTTGTGTAGTGATGTAATTCGATTCGATTAGGAATCTAATCTAAATCCATGATGTCGTCACCTTCTTCTTCGTCATCATCGTCCGCCTCATATTCCATTGGTTCTCCCTCCTCCAAGTCAAAATCGTCGCACACCCAAGCAAGTCAGGAAAGATGAGACTACAGCCAGCAGTGGTCTAGCTAGATAGATGGGCCCTGCTTTAGCCCTTGCAATCCAAAAGGATGAGATGGCAGGACGAGTACTCGAGTACATGTATGTGTCAGCAAGTGTGCAAACCAGGAGTGATGGAGGCGGAGTCACCGCCTCACAAACTGTAAGTCCAGGGGGGAAAGTCGAGCGAGCAACCGTGATCCAGGGTATCAATAGTCATGGTGGAATGGAACAGTGGCTGACGAATGACTCCCAACCTTGCCCGAGCATCAAGAGGACAACGTTTGCAATGGAAGGTAAGGTACACTGTGGCATATAGTAGGGAAGCAAGACTACCTGGGCCCTGGGCCTGGGTTACAAAGTTGATAAATAGGTCACCACTCTCCAAAACTAGCTAGTACAGCTCGAACTCGTATCGACAATTAGCTAGCCTGGGTGACGTGTGCTTTGTACCCGTACCCCCATGGAGCGACCCTTGGTTGCGCTAGCTTTCGTAGGTGGATCCTTGCAATCCTTGGCTGGTGGTTTCGTAGTAACCGCGTTTGTTTCCACTGACAACAGTCATCTCCGAAACCCAAAACCACCAACGAAACTGGAGTTGCGGGAATACTCAGGCTAGTACCTGTTTTGCATGTTTGTGTGAGGGCTGTGTACTAGTAGTTATCTTTTGGAAGAATGACTCAAAATGGATTAATGGCTCAAAATGGAAGCATGACACAACAAAGTAAGTGATGTACCAGTACAGGAAATCTGGTAGAAACTAGGATCTGACAGATTTCTCGAATTCAGTACAGTAGCATGACTCAAAGTGGAAGCTTCACTCTAACTTGCAGTTTGACCAAAGGACGCTCCAAGAGCCGATTCCCCGCACTGCCTGCCCAGCAAGATCTTCCGTCATTGGGGACAACAAATTTGGTGGGAATGGCAGTGGCCGCTACCGCATTCAATGCCCCGTCCGTTGCAGGATTGTCTGGTGCAGACCAGAGCAGAGCCATGAATGGGGAAGCCATTGACGTGCAAAGGATAGCCTCACAAACTACACAAAAGGCAGCAGAACACAAACGAAGCTCAAAACTGCGAGGACAAACTAACACAGAAACTACATAAACCGCAAAGATGAGTCCCAAACAAAGAATTCCATTTGGAACTGTTTGCACAGAAGAAGCCATGCAAAACCTGATGCGTTTCTTCTCAATATTCCAAGGACAACCCAAGCTTCATTTTGCCCAAAAAGTGTTTGCTGCCATTGGCCACACATTCGACGAGGAGATGACTAATGATGATCAAGTCAAGTTTGTCTTCGATCTGATCGAGGCCCGTGAAAGAGTCGACATCAAGAAGATTTGCCTGTCCACAAGTGGCAGAATCTATTGTCAGATCAAAGTCACACCTGTTCTGATTGCCCCTGACAGGGCAACGATCCGATACATGACATTCTATGCCACTGTGGGTCATGATGGAATGATCACTGATTTTGAGCTCGACAACGAAATCGAGGTCATTCAGGGAAAAGGCAAATCGACACCTGTCGTGAAGACGACAACAGCAGGAACAACAAGTGTCTCGGTATAACCACCAGAGAGTCTCATTTTGTTTACCATTCACAGGCATTTGCTATAGATAGAGATTGATAGCTGACGTTGTCAAGTTTCATGGTAGCCTTGTACTTTTTGTGGCCTCTTCTACAGGGTCTTGTAGAATTGCACTACTGGTGACTTTGTGAATGGATCCTTGGTCACAAAACTTCCCCTCTACAAAACCCTCCTTTCCGTCTTCAGATCCAACGTTGCTCATGAAAGTGAAATGTGCTGGGAATGGCATCCCACACGAAGTTGAGTCGCCATTTCCAGCACAGGGTCGCCCCTGTCTCTATTCAGTGCCTCCACCATGCAGTGCGACAAATTCATCTGGATTCTTGCGGGCAGCACACTCTGGACGCCGCAATTTCTGCCCCTTGAAAGTATCCCGATAGCAAAGGTCTCGGTTCGTCATCGTCGTCTGCGAAGATGGCCCTCGAGTTCTTCTTCTTTGTCAGAACGTGCTTTACAGCCGTTCGCAGAGCACCAGTGATGTGTCGGCACCCATATCTTGGAATGTTGCAGTCCGTTGGTCATGTGCGATTATCAGCTTGCGTTGCTGCTTCACTTTGGTAAATGGATCCGAATCAGATCATCACCCCGTTCCAATGTAGATGGGTTCTGGGACTGTCCAAATCCCATCTCCCGCATACGTTGCAACACTGCTCGCCCCGGCCCCGTCGCTGCTGGACCCGGCAACCTCCAGGGTATCATCATCATCATCTTGAGTAAAAACTTGCAGGTTGATGAGTGCCCACGAAGGAAAGTTGTGGCTGTGTGCCTGACAAGAAGGTTCAAAGGATCAGCAGTATGATTATTGTTGGACGAGTGATGTGGTGGCGGCAAAACTGGAGGTCCATCCACCAGAAGCAGGGCTGCTCGCTGCGATCCATCTCCTGCCGTGCCCGTGCTGCCGCAGCGCGATCGTTTGGCATAGCTGTAGGCAACCCGGCTCGAGTAGCTTACACCAACCCAGAATGCCACCGGATGTGTACCGTATCCTTCAAACTCACCGATAGTGATGAACTCTTTGTTGGGATTGGGCAACGGACACAACAGCCCTTCACACCAATCGGAAACGCAACTGCAAGCCAGACCTTGACGGTGTTCTTCGGAATGAGCTAGCTTCATGGCGTTGTAGACCTTTCGCCGAGGGTGCTGGCTGGTTAGTGTTTTTGTTTTGTTTCTGGCTGGCATGCGGCATCTACATAAAGATCCTGCCAGCAAGTATTTGGCCATGGCGTGCAAGGTGGATCGAAGTGCTCCGTTTCCTTGCAGCACCTCGTATTTTCCATGTCGAATCGTGTCTTCGTCACTCCAAAATTTCGCCAATAGTAGAGTTTCGCAACAGGACGCCCTCTTGTCTTGTCCGAGGATCAGTACTGTACGGCCAGTGCTGTGGATGGCTTGGTGATGCTGGCAATTTCCCATATATCGTCGGGGCCCCAAGGAGCATCCAACTTTCCGGGCCCTGCCTGCCGTGTACAGGCTTGTGCCATTTGCCATTACTTTGTTGTGGTTGGAGGTCTACGCACCACGAACAAACCCCAACCACAGTGAAAGATTATCAAATTGTGAGCTTATTTTAGAGCTATTTCTTATTGTGTTCTTTCTCCAAATGCAGTTTATTGCAGTTGGTTCAGCCCCATCCTAGTTGTGCAGGGTGAGCCAATCCCTCTATAATCTCGCATGCCCTCAGATGCTTAGCAGGGAGCAAGAGCTCGTCAGGACCCATGAATTCGGCATCCCACTGCATGATACCCTCTCTTTGGGCTTCAAACAGCTGCCGAGGCTGTGGTTTGGTCATCAAATCAGCGAGTTGCTGTTCACTTACAACCTTTTGAATAGTAATCCTGCCTTTTCGAACGTACTCTCTGAAATGATGATACTTCACGTTGATGTGTTTCGTCCTTGCTCTCATCTTAGGTAATCGTACCATCTCTAGAGCTCCTGAGTTGTCTTCCCATACTTTGCAATGCACCTTTGGGACTGTTTTCGTCATTGTCCATCCAATGCGCCTAGAGTCCTCTAGCAGTTCCATCAGATTGATGACTGACCGAAGGCTTTCTGATACCGCTAGATACTCCGCCTCAGTTGTTGACAATGCCACTTCTCGCTGAATCTTGGACCCCCAAACTACTGGACAACAGCCGTACATAACAACGTATCCCGTGCGTGACTTCGCTGTGCTTGGATCGACCTCTGCATCGACCTTGTTCCAGTTGCCGACAAAATCTGCGTCTACCCAGCAATCGAATGAATGATTCCTTGGGTTCAATATGATTCCTCGTGTCTGCGTGTTCACGAGATACCTCCCAATATATTTGACAGCTTGTGCATGAGACTCTTTCGGTTCGTTCGAAAATCTCGCGCACTGGTGGACTGAGTATCCCAAATCTAACCTTGTTGACTTCTCAAGGAAGTTCAGCTTCCCGATCACCGCTCTGTAATGCCATTCCTCATCATACGGAGCTCCATGAATGTCCCTGTTCAGCCGTTGATTGGATGGCGCTGGTGTAGGCTTCCCTTTCGTCTTGTGCTTCGTATTGTCGTCGTTAAATCCGAGATCTTTCAGGATTCCTCCGATCAGATGTGGTTGAGACAGTTTGATCGTACCATTTTCGAGTGGTTCGATCTTGACCCCAAGGTAGTCGCTCAAGTTTCCTTCATCTGTCATATTGTAGCCGCGATGTCGTTGTCCTGCATCATCGGTATATTCATTTGACAACAGATCATAGCACTCCTGTATTTCATCTTGCGTAGGACCTATGAATATCCCGTCATCAACGTAGATCATTAGTGCCACTGATCCTCTGTAATACACGCACATATCCACGTTGCTCTGCACAAAACCTCTAACGATGAGGCCTTCGTGTAAGAATCTGTTCCACACCCTTCCGGCTTGCTTTTGACCGTAAAGGTTCCTGTTGAGTTGCAACACGTGGCTCTTTCTGTCCCCTTTGAACTCAAATCCGATGGGTATCTGCATGTACATGTCGCATTCGATCTCTGCTTGTGGAAATGCAAGAACAAAGTCAACCTGCTTGGACTGCCATTTGTTGAGTATCATCAGGATCAAGAACATCCTTATGGTAGACCATCCTACTACCGGAGAATAAGTTTCCCAGTAGTTCACTCCAAGCTTCTGCTTTCCACCATGTACGTTTAGTCGAGCCTTCCACTTGTATATCTCGTTCGTCGCTATCTTTCGCTTGCGTCTGAATGCCCATACCGCAGGAAGCACGTCCGTACCAGCTGGAACTTGCGACCTAGGAACAACCGTCCAATGTTCGTTGTCGGTGTGCGAATCGACCTCCTTCTTCATTGCTTTGAAAAATTCTTCCCGGTCGTGCGCACACATTGCCTCGTCGTAATACATAATGTCCGGATTGGATGACGCCGCGAATGTTACCAAGTTCGTTGACTCGTCGTACATCATTACGTCGTTGTTGATTGTTTCTATGTATCTCATAGGATCCTCCATCGTGTCTTGTGCATCCATTGAATCATCGTGGAACACGTCCCATGGCACATAGAAGGCACTAATCGTTCCTTGCTCGATAGCTTGCTTCATGGATTCCGTTCGTTTCCTCGCTCGACCTGATCGCCGAAGCTGTGGACCGATCATCTCCTGCTCTACTTCGGTGGTAGGTGCCTCTCCTGCTCCGTTATCTGCTCCGTCATCGTGCTCTCGATGGATGCCATCGTGTGGATAAGTCTGGTGGATGTCAAAATCCTCCGCGAGAATTTGAGCAGCTTGCCGGCTTGTCTCGTTGATCGGTTCCTGCTCTTGATTCGCGGCTTCATCAACCACGACTTGACCCTGCTCGTGCCTATCTCTTTCTTTGATATCATAGCTAAGGCTTTGATACGCGTTTCGACTCCTCGAACGTCAACTTGTCGATGTCGCGTTCGTCTATGCTATGAAATCCAGTCCTTTGTTGCCACAATGACGCCGTCTTTGGATTGCCTGCTGATCTCCGCCTCAGATCTGGATGTCGTCTTTGTGCGATCGAGTCGCCTTCGATTGACTCGTCGTCGTCCGTGCCTTCATCGTCCGAGATCAACTGTGCTGCTGGGTATGCCATTAGTTCTCCCTCGTCTAGCAGCTGACAATCGTCAGTGTCCGCGATTGTTGGAGGTTGTATTACAGACACCTCAATACAAATTAGTCGTTTATCCCAATCTAGTTGATAGGGGATATCTATATCTATTCTCTAGTTACATACATGGGGAGTTTAACTGATCTATATGGTCACCCCCTTCACTATATCCTTTGAAGTTGAATCAATCCCAGAAAACATGGAGAAAGATCACTTCTTGGAAATAGCTTAACAGTAAAACAGTATTTTACCTTTACTAAGCTAGAGTGTTACTAGAAACCAACACTATTTCCAAGAAGATCATCTCTCGAAGTTCATCTCGAATTCGAGATCACCCCATGGTGATACCGATGTTGACGACCTATTACATGATATCCAAGTCTATGCTAAGGTAAACAGTTCAACAAACGGTCAAGGCAAAAAGGGCTCTAGCCTCACTGAGAGAGCTATCCCAACAGCCTAAAAGGAAAAAGGCAACATCACGAAAGAATCACGCCTCACCACATTGGCTACACCGGAGCGAACGGTCCTACTGAAGACGACCGAATCATCGCAATCCAAGTACACCGCCTTGAAGATCATTACTAACTACTCCACTCTATTGCTTGAACGAAAGCGAACCGACGGAGCAAGCAAGCTCGCAGGAGTGAGCGAAGCACCAAGACTTTGAGCTGCGAAAACAGCCATCGTATGCAACGTTGCTACGAAAACCAACTACAAGAAGACTCAACTGTATGCACCACGCAGTGCAGGAGTGGCAGCCAAGCTATCTAGCTAGCTACCACGACGAGTCAAAGAAAGAAAGTGCGCTACTACGGAGCAGAAGCTACTGTACCATACCGTACGGAGCAGAAGCTACCGTACGGAGCAGAGCTACTACGGCGACGAACCG